TTTATATATATTTTCTATTACAAAAAAAAAAAAAGAAAACACGAACAAACAAGTAAGACAAGTCTAGAAGTTACACATTCTAAACAAAAAAAAAATCCTCTTTCATGATGCTTATGAGTTCCACATAAGGGTAATGCTAGTAGTACAAGTCAAGGGACCAGACAAATGCTTAATTAACTAAATAATCGGCACAACAATTCTCTTTATAATAAACATATTAAATTCTAACATTTCAATTCTTCAGTAACTAAGTTTTTATAGCCAAAATTATGTTGGAGTTAGCATTAACGGAAATTACTTCACTTATAAAAAAACTTTTATAAGTACTTTACATTTTATTTCTTTAGTTATAAAAGTACTTTTAAAGCACATTGAAACTAAAAACTAAGTCAATAATTAGCTAGTATAAAAAAAAAAGCTATGAAATCAAAAATAGAAAAGAAAGAAAACAAAATCCAAGTATCAAAATCTGGATTTTATGAATCTCACTTCTTAAAAAACTGAATTGAGACTTTAAGAACTACACTCAATTTTTTTTTTTGTATGTATGTGCATATATATGTATATATATGCATGCAAGGAAGAATAAAATTGTGAATTACCTAGAGAGTCTAAGCTGATAGCCACACAAACTAATCGAAAGTAGAAAAACATCCAATGCAGATGAAGATGAAATGCAAGCTCAGATCTTTCCACCTGATAAGAATACAATGAATATACGTAGGAATATATATATATATATATACCTGGAAACCTCGTCCCCCAATTAACCTTTCACATTTGCCATATTCGACCTTATCTTCAAAAGTGCAATGGTCCCTTGCCGAGGCCACCGGTTTCCGCCAAACCCCCGGTCTCATCGGAAAATCTAGTTCCCTTCTACTCCTCGTCGGAGTTACTCATTGGACTTTCCAGCGCCTACTCGATTCATCACTCCCCGCTATATATCCTCACTGTTGTGTGACCTGTAACTCCACTCGATCTACAGCATCATATGACCGATCAGACTCTTTTTCTTTTGAGTATTTCATTTTTGGTCTGTGTAGAATAATTACGGCTTCTTCAGGGACTAAATAGAAATTATGTCACAGAAGATATCAAATTATATAATTTTACAATCATTAAATAGCTTTATTTAATTTTGTATAATAGTTAAATCATTTTATTAATTTATTTAAAATTAAACATGTACATACTGATAGAGCTTAATTTATTTTAATTATATTGACTGAATTATTAGAAAAAAATATAAAATGAAATGTGATTGATGTATATTTAGATAGAGATGAAGATGAGTTGGAATTTGCTTTCTTGTAAGGTGATTGTTTTGTATTTCAGTGTCCGGTGACCAGCTTTAATGTCAAATTATTAAATTACCCTTTTCATTTATTAGATATTCGAATATTACCGTTGACTTTTTTTTAACCTTTGATGATTTTACTTTCCTATTTTTGTTATTATATATTATGAATTAAAGAATTTTTTTTGGTAAAAATAAAAATTAACTAACAAGAAAGTGATAATCGTGATATTAGATTTGATTTATTTAAGTATCTAAAGACTTATGAAAAATGATAATTTTGTATTATTATTAATGGAATTAAGGAAATTTACAAAAAAACAAAGAAATGATATTATTATTAGTATATATGTATACGTATATATATTTATATATATATATATATATATATATCAAGGAATGAATAATTTATAAAAGTATTTTAGTTTCTCTATATCTATTTGGGTTTGCTTTGCTCGTAAAGAGTTGGACTTAGCTGTACATGTCTGCAGGTGTATTATCATATATATATTTCATACACATATGTGAGATATAAACATGTATATGCCTCGTATAAGACTTCTGCCGGATAGATACTCTAGATCCCACTATGCCCACCAACACCACCATCACCATTTTTGCGTACTTGCACCAAGGATATGTCCCATCACACGTCACAACTAAACTATAATTCTCGATGACACCAGAGACGAAAAATGCACAAACATATACACACACACACACATAAGCATATATATATATATATGCATATATAGTTGTGCGTGTGCACGTGTATATAAATACAATTTGCATCAAACTGACACTTTATGTTAACTACTTGCAAAAGCAATCACAAAGCACATTTGGGTTAGCGACGGTATAATATGATATACATACAGATTTGCATACTACTCCTGTTTTATACGTAAATAAATACATATATATAAGTATATATTAGTGGTTGACCAAATAATGTGAAACCATATATATAAAAAAGAAGTGTTCACGAGGCTCTTGAGTTCTTGATTAACCTTCTTAAATTATACAAGGGAGGTTTATACACACACACACAAAATAATACTGTATATAGGTGGCGGGGTTAAGGATTTACTTGGCCAAATTGGAAAATTAGGTTAAATGTAGACAAGAAAAGTTTAATTTCACATGGTGGGCATGTGATGTGAATGTGTACACTTACATCTGTCTACCATGTGGTTTAACCTCTAAATTTATCTGGCACCAGCTAAGCACCCACCAAACTTTATTCTCCATTTTAATTTTTAATTTTTAATTTTTTAAACAATTAAGACTTTAATATAAATTATTTATTTATTTTCCACATAATCAAAATATGGCTCGATTATTATTTTATCAAATTAATTTTTAAAAAAATTAAGAATAAAAAAAATATGATATCACTTCAAGTTGAACTACTAAACTGATTTTTAAAAGAAATTTTATTAATGCAAACACTTGAATGAATGTGACTCGTCAACATGCTTTTTAAAAATGTTACAATGAAAAAAAGTTTTATGACCCATTTATGGAATGTGTCACTTTTCCCAATCTCCCCTTTATTTATTTATTTTTTTTGTTAAATTTAGATCGAAGATGAAAAGAACATATATATATATATACACACACACACACACACACAATACTATAATGTGGGATCGCAATGATTATATCTCCAATGATCGCCGTCATTTTTTAACCAATAACTTTCAAGTTTAATCCATGATTCTTTATTAATGGGAGGAGAGATGGAACCTTCTGTAGTGGGTTGTTCAACCCATATTCTTTAATTATTCTTTCCCCCTCTTGTTCCAACTTCATGTATATATATATATATATATATATATATGTATGTATAAAAAATTATTCTTTCCCCTCTTGTTGCGAATACATATATATATATATGTATGTATGTGTAAAATTAATGACACTAACTCTTCCCTAGAGTAAATTTCAATCCTAAGATACTGCAAGAGAGTAAAATGCAAGCAATACCAGGACAGCTCCATGTGCACTAGATTTCATTCTCAATAATAATTTTATCTCTTTCTCATAAGTTAAAGTTTCAAACATCCCCATAACTACATACCAATGAGCTTATGAAAATTCAAATCTGTTGGAATTGAAAAACCCAATTTGAACCCGAATAAATTAGACTTAATTATGTATTCAGTTTTAAATGTTGAAGTCTTAATTCCGAAATGATCTAAATCAAAGACCAATATATTCAAATCTAGTCTAGGCTTTTCTTTCCTTTTTTTTCTCCTTATAATTCTGTCTTCAATCTAAAATTTTATCTTGTTTCAGTCTTGATTTGGTCAAAATTCATTATGGTTCTGGACCATTCAAAACCTATATTACACAATAAACTCACTTACAGATACACAATTAATTCGACTGAAAAGTAATCTTAAAATGAATACAAATAAAAGACAATATGAGTCACCAAAAACAATAGGTGTAAAGCCAGAGCAGTTACTGGATATATATACTTATGTATATATCTATGTATCTACCCAAGCTACTGTCATTACCTTTCATCATCATATGATTAAGAAGGGTTATCACTACTGACCAATATATATTGCTAACATCTCATTGATGGAGAAAAGCCAAAGTGCCAAACAGTGAAAAAGGAAACATTACCTGAAATGATGCTTACTGGAATAGAGCTCCCAAATAGCTTTCTTTAGCTGCAGCAATGCAAGCAAAGGATTATCTTTGTGGCTGCTTTCTCCATAGCTTTTCAGTTTGGACTGTTGCAGTGATGTGATGTTGGATTTGCTGTGTGTTGAAAACTCCCACCATCTAGTCAACAATAAAAAAGAACTTCAAAACATCCTTCCAGCTCTCCCTTTATATCCATACATATAGATACATACATATATAGATATATGTCATGCTAATCAATATCACTGTGTTTGTTCTATTCAATCCTGGCGTGAATGATTTGTCAGCTGAAATGATACAAAATGTAGCCACTTAGTTTTCCAGCTCTTCTGCCTTGACTAGAATGAATTCTGCAGCAATAGTCTCCTCAAAAGATGTATGTTATTGGACAGGTTAAGAACATTCACATAATATATCTGCCTAAGCTAAACAAGTATATGGAGACAAATGAGGTATTAGCAAACATGATTAGGCAAATCAAGAACATTGATAAAACTGTACAGTTCAATTTAAACAAGGATGGAGAGACACGGAAACACAAGCTTACTTGCATCTCATTCCCCAGTAAAAAATGTTTTAGCAGTAGGTATTTTCCAGAAGCTAATGTAGTTTTTGTCATGTAAAACTGTACGTCATTAAGTAGAAGGGACTTACCAAGAAAATTGAAGATCACCCATCAACTGCATGGAAAAAGATGAAAAACTGAATTGCATCATATATTTTAAATATCTTCATTTTAACAGTAGAAACCAAAGAATACGCTCACATAATATTCGAAGTTCAAACAATTGAACAATGAGAACAAAGTTTATCATTTTCCAACAATTTTCTTTTCATGTAGTTTCCACTATAAGTTCTACCCATGACAAAGCTGTTATTATAGAACAAACAAGATAAATGGAATGAAGGTTTTCATTACATTAAGTGAAAAGTATAAAAGGAAAGTAAGCACAAATCATGGCTGAAGAAACATCACTCTTTGACCTTTTGATATTAAGGAAGAACATATTAAAAAGGAGACGAACTAGAAAGAGCATCAACACAACATGCTAAAGACACTGCTTAATTATTTCCAAACAAATAAAGAGAAACAAGGGCACATGAGAGGATTTAAGGGTGCACCACCTTAAGCAGTTATCATTTGTCAATCGACATTTAGTTTACCATTGAGTATTTCACAAAGGAAACTATGATTGTCAAGGAGATAACAAGAGAATTTCAAGTATTGCTTCTAATAATCCTGTCATCCCAAAATGCTGGAGTCTTCTTCTCAAAGATGGATAATAACAATGTAGAGTCTTTTTTTGGCCCCTTCATCACCGTTCAATCACACCCTTAATTTCATGCTTCTGTTCATCTCATCAAGGAAGCAAATAGCAGTTGTTTTTAGTATCATAAAAAGATTCTGCCACTTCAAAATTAACCAGCTTGTGAGAATAAAATCCACAGCAACTCCATGGTACAAAGTTAATAAATGTAATTGCAATAACATTGTAGTGAGCTTTATTGTCCCCCCAGAAAAGAAAAATAAGTCCAATAAATATAGCAACACTGATGAGCACGGGCATTCAATTCTATTTATTGAACATATCCCTCAATCACAACACTCTGATGTGAGATTTTGGACTGTAAATTCTTCAACTTCAGTCTTTTCCTCAGTTCTTTCAGTGTCATCTGAAGATTTCCATCATAATCTCCACCCCACCAAGGCAATACCTCTACCACAATTTTTTGCAACAGATTTTGCTCAATACCCTCTCTAAGAAGCTCTTGCAGATTGCTGAAACTCCCCCTCAGATCCAGCAAAACACTGCGCAATCCCCTGTTTCTAACAGATTCAAGAATTGCACTCAAAGTTATTTGATCCGAAACCACTTTTTCAATTTCCTTCTGAGCCATCTCTTTTCCAAGAGTTGTGCCTTTGTTGGTAAACAATACCACTTTGGAAGCCATTTCTTTGGTGAGATCAGGAATTTGGATTCCAGACCATTCAGGATTTCTTGCTACTAAAATCTTCATGGGTTGATTAGCACCAAGTTCTTGCGACGTAAACATGGAAAGATTATCCTTTAATGAACCAGAAATTATAATTGCATCATTTTCCTGTAGTAGTTTTGAGTAGTATCCTCCACTTTCTGAAACTCCTTCACCAAGCTGGTCCAAGAAACAACCATTGACAGAAAGGGAATATCTGGAAGTCAGGTAGAGCCATTAAGAAAGATTCTTGAAGAATATACAAAGGTAACATCTATACATGTTTTTTAAAGTGAAACCTTCAAGACGCTCTGGAAAGGTGTGAACCTGGCATCAACATAACATTGTAAGCAAAGAAAAATATACCTTAGTGTAACAAAGGGCTTCCCTGTCAATATTTGATGGATATAAGCCTCATTGAGCCTCTTGCACAGCTCTTCTTCTACACTCACAATCACCTCAATTCCTGCATCTCTCAATCTATTCACCCCTTTTGAAGCAACAATCGGGTTTGGGTCCACCATTCCCGCCACCACTTTTTTCACCTTGGTTTTGATCAGAGCTTCAGTACATGGTGGAGTTCTACCAAAGTGATTACAGGGCTCTAGGCTCACATATGCTGTGGCCCCCTCAGCCAAACTACCAGCGTCTCGCAGAGCAAATACCTGCAAATTTCACCTCCTGGCCAAATTATTCGGCTGGAATCTCTAAAGCGAAATATGTTCACTTTCATATGAAAAAAAACACATTAGTATAGTAGGATAAAAACATAGTTAGCAGAAACCATGACACTGTTCTGAAACATCTAAAGGACCATCTCATTTTGTTCATGGCAAACTTTGTCTCTACTTAATTCTTAATCTAAATCCATATAACACGAGGGAAAGAGACACATCACTGAACTTATCACAAAATAACGAGTAACTATGTTAAAGAGACCTACAAAAATCATGGAATTGATTTACATGTGTGCTCCATTCAGTTGGAAGAAAAATGGCAGGAAAAGATAAAGAAACTAAATATAATGAAAAGTCAACTCCTACTAATCTTTGCATCTAGTAAACTATATCCTTATTCATCATGGGTTCCTGATCCAACTAATGAAGTCCAGGAACTCTGAAAATCCATTCTTTAGTCCTGATCTTAAACAAATCAACCATGATTTTGTCTGCAATTAACTGAAAAATTTGTAGGAAAAGATAACAAAAAAGAGAAGAAGAAGAGACGTGAGGTTACCTCCGCATGAGGTTGACCAGCTTTAGGGTGAAACCCCTCACCAACAATCTTCCCATCTTTCACTATAACACAACCCACCATTGGATTGGGACTTGTGTATCCAACGGCCTTCCTCGCCAGCTCCACGCATCTCCTCATATAGAACCTATCGTCTTTTACCTCTCCAGAACTCGCCATAATCAAACTGCCGTATCTTCTCGAACTAGTCTGCAATTTGGTTACCCTTCGCAGTGAATTGCAAAACCCAGCATTGCAAGTTCGATTGAGTGCAAGGATTGAGGGGTTATGTGGGATTGCGGTGGAAATGTGGGGAGAGGACGAGAAATTTGGAGGAGCAACAATGGTGTAATTCGCAACTGAAAATCTTTGAATCTGCATTCCGACTAAAAAATTTGAATGTTACAATACGCAGGGCAAAAAATTTAAGCCAACTGAGTGTCAGTTCCTTCCCGTCCCTATTCCTTGGGGAAATAAGTTATAATCTCTGCGCTAAACTTCAGAACTCGTAATTCCTCTTTTTACATGCAAAATAAATCAGCAGAAAATCCTAAACCGAAGCATATCGAATCAAACAATCATCCCTTTCTAAATTCTGAATGCTACAGATTTACTCCCTTAACAGCCATAGATATACACAGTTCGAGAAATCACCAATTGAAGAGGAAACGAAAAAATCAAACCGAAAAATAGAGTCTTTCCTGGAACATCATGAAAATGGATACGTATCTGTGAGGACCCAGAAAGATATAAGAGAGATCCCTGTGATTAAGCCGAGAATCCAGGGTCGAAGATCAAGAAAATCAGCAGCTGAGCTCTGCGGTGTCAGGCTATAGAGAGGCCTTTTGAAAATTTTGCTTGTGTATATACGCCGTGTAACATCCCGAAATATATATATATATGTCAATGAATAAATAAATGACAAATAAATATTAAAAGAAAAGGAATCCTAAACAAAAAAACAAGAAGAATAGAAGCGGCGTGAAAGAGGGCACGGCAGGGAAGGAAGACGCAGCGGGAGGGAGATGCGGCGGAGGAGAGAAGAAGAAGAAGAAGAAGAAGAAGAAGACGAATACGAAGAAGGAGATGGAGAAGGAGAAGAAGAAGAAGAAGAAGAAGAAGGTCGGCGCGCGCGATTGCGGAGGGCCAGATCTGCGGCGCAACCAGAGAGCACCGCGCGATCAGCCTGTGCGCGTGGCGGAGGGGAGGCGATCAGAGTAACGGCGCGACCGTGCGCGCAGCAGAAGAGAGGAACCAGCGCGACGGATTGCGCTCCAGGTATGTGCGGCGCGGCAGCGAGAAGACAGATCCACGGTTACTGGATCGCATAGAGGCCCGATCACGGCAGCTTCGACGAGATCAGTTTCGGATCTGGCCGTGCCGCGATTCTCGTGGCAATTCCGAGTCACTCGCGTCGGCGCATGCTGCTTCCGACGGTGGTGCGCGGCAGCGCGTGGCAGCTTCCTTGACACGCGCGTGGTGACTCCAACAACCGGGTACCACGTGTCCAAGTAAAAATTTGTTGTCCATAAAACAAGAAAATAATAATAAATAATAATTATCTGGTATTAACACACGTACTTTTATTTTGCAAACGAAAAAATTGTTTTAACAGTAGCCAAAATTTCAGGGTCTTCATATTTTTATAAAATGATTTATTGTTTTAAATGATTAATTTAAAATTTTGATGGATGATATCCAGTTTTATTCCGAAAAGTGTTTGTAAAGTTTCATGCATATATATGAATAGGTGTGTATAAGGTATATCTATAATAATATGGATACAGATATGTTTTGCTTGAATGGGTAGGCACAGATGAGGTTATACACATGCGGACGTATAAGATTTTTATGTATAAAAGTAAGTAGATTTCAAGTGTGTGTACGTAGGTAGCTATATATAGAATTATGTAATATGTGGTTATACATATTTAGATATGTATAAAGTTGTGTGAAAATGTATATAGATATATATGTATGTTGATATGAGCATAAATAGTTTTTCGTATTAAATTTGTCTGTGTGCATATTTACATATAGATTGTGGTTGCTTGTTGCTTATGTAATATGTTTGGTGTCTGAATAATATAATGTAAAATTGTGTATGTTGGATATATTATGGATATGGAATATGAGGATGAGGGTGGCCGGTGTTTATGGCGCCCACATGGGTTGGGCTGTGAGGCAATCGATGGTTGCACTTGTACTTTAATTATATGATAATTGTGTTTTGGTTATGCATAAGGAACACTACTATAAATATGGAATAATAACAGCGTTTATACGGATTAGGATATGTTGGTAACCGACTTATTATAGCACCCATACTAGTTGGGGTATGAAGGTGGCCGGTGTTTTTGGCGCCCATATAAGTTGGGGTATGGGGCAGCTGATAATCGTGACACTCATATAGGTTGGGGTACAAGAATGACCAACGAATACTTATTAGTTATAAAAATATTTAAATATCCATATGTAAAGAAAATTACTGTATACTAAATGATATTAGTTAAAAGTCAATATGCGGTGATATATAAAGATATCAAACAGAATATAAAGTGAATTGATCTAATATATGTATTGCATCTGGTTATATATTCGATATAATGTGACGGTGTATATGCACGAGAATGCAAGTTTGTTCGAACATGAATGTGATGTGTTTTTTGATGGATATATATAGTACTCGAATATAAATCTATTTTGATAATGAATTGATATGTATGTCATGCGATCATGAATATATTCGAATGATAATTTGTTAATGAATATGAGATTGGAGCATGTGATATGGGTATCAGAGGAAAAAAAAAATTGATATGTGAAATGACAAATGAGAAGAATTGTTGTTGTTTGTCTTTCATATTTGGAAAGTTCACTTTAAAATCCGCATTTGTTTTCTAAAATTTGTATGATTAGTTATTTGCATGCTTTTGTATGGATACTGTATTTTTCTTACTGAGTTCGTAAAATTCACCTCAATTCGTATCCGTTTAATGCAATTAATTCTAATTAGGAGCGTGTTTAAGGTCAAAAGAAAACTCTAAAGAATTTTTGATAATTTTAGAAGTTCTATTTGTATAGTAGAGCTAAATATATAATGATGTAACTTATACATTTTGTGAGATTTATAAATTATAACTGTGTACAAGAGATAATTAAATTACAAATTTTAGCATATTGTTGTGTAAATTTATTAAGTTATATATACGTGTTAAACATTCATTTCTTAACGGAGAATACGAGTCGTTACACACTGTGACAGCGAGAGAGAGATAGAGAAAGAAAGATAAAGTAAGTCTAAAGTACGTGAACTGAGTGAGGAAGACAACATATATAGCAAGAAGAGAAGTTCAGTACTAACGTGAAAAACTAATGTCAATTAGTGCTGACATATTTATACAAGAGTCGTCATGACTTTTAAAGAGACGACGTGGTGTGTTGACAAGTCAAAAGAGTGACATAGAAGTTATTATTGTTGTTATATATAATATGACACTTATAAGCTAAGTTAAAAAATAGTAGTAGAAAGTTTTATTATTTTAATAAAATAAAATTTATATTTTTGGTAAAGATAATTTTTAAATTTTAAAATATAAATTTTTAATAAAAGCTAATTATTTTCTAAATATACACATTATAACTTTTGTATATTTAATTATAAATTATCTAATTATAAAATCTGAAGAGCCTCGTTAGTACTTCAACACAATAAAATAATTTCAATATATTGTAAAAAATATACAATATAAATTTGTAATAAATTTTTTTTAAAAAAATTGTGGGGGTAAGGTTAAGCAATTCTAAGTATTTGACCAATCAAGTGGGCCGGCCCTACAATCATACTAGTTTTGGTTGAGGAAAATATTTGGGCTTCTTATATTTCTCTTCTCCCGTACGTTGAATACGAGTTGGCACCTTGTATTACCGGTTATAAATAAATATCTCACGTGTTTCAATTTATTGACCGAAGTCTCAAAATCTCCCATCCAAAAAATTCTACGTCTTAAGCCAGGCCT